AGTAGAAATCTGCTGAATTAAAAAATATGAAAGAAAAGTAGTTTCTTGAAGAGAGAAGGAAGAGAGAAGGAGAAGAAGAGAAGAAGAGAAGAAGAGAAGTTGAAAAGGAAAGAGAGCAATGATCTGGCTGCCCCCTTCACTTATTATTTATACTAAAAATAATAGAACAGTACAAAGACAACCATGCCCTTATAGGGCGGCAAAACATAAAACATATATAACACTCAAAAACATAATAAAATTTGGGCTCACATAACTACAGTGGTCCCCACCTCCTATCTAACAACTAATATAAAACATCTACTCAGAAAAACATCATAAAACTGATTAATCTTCAACAATAACTCATGTCAAGTTCTAAAAGAAAATTGCATAAAATAAAATGAAATGCAACCATGGACAAATCATATTAAAGGGATCTAGAGGGGATATGAAAAGAGGGCATAAACTAGGAATAACCTACTTCAATAATCTGTACAACTCATGTATGACAAAATGGATTAAGATGCGGATTTAACCGTATTAATCTATTCTAGATATTTATGCAACCTAAAAAATTATATAACTCACTATTAACTCAACCCAATAATTACATTAACCTGGCCTACACATAAGAATGCATGATCATACTAATCTAATCTCAGTTTTGCCATATATCAACAAGACGGATGTACTCAAGATATCACACAAGTCAAAATCAACAACTTTGTAAAATTTTGAATAAAATGAGATGAAAGAAAAACAAAGAAGACATGGAAACCATCAATCTATATTCAATAAAAACAGATTAATCAAATGGGAACTAATTGTGGAAAGGATTGAGAAAAGGCTGGCTGGATGGAAAGCAAGGTAACTATCAAATGGGGTAAGCTCACTCTAATAAAGAGTGTTCTATCTTCTTTACCTGTCTACTTATTATCGCTTTACCAATCCCAGTAGGGATGGTCTCTCAAGTTGAGAGAAGAATGAGAGAATTCTTATGGAGAGGTTGAAAGGACGGTAAAAAAGTTCATTTGGTGCACTAGGGAAAGGTGTTTAAACAAAAGAAGAATGGGGGATTGGGCATAAGAAGACTTAGAGAATTGAACTTAGCATTTCTTGGTAAGTGGTTCTGGAGGTCTGAACAACAAGGGAGTTGTCTGTGGAAAAGAGTAATTCAAGCAAAGTATGGTACAAAAAAATGAGGGGTGGGATCTAGGAGGGAAAAAAAAATCAGTCGTTTGGTTGCTTGGTTTGGAAAGGAATAGAAAAGAACTACAGTTTTTTTAGCAAGGAAATCAAGTTTGAAATAGGGAAAGGAACCAGGATTAGATCCTGGATGGATTGCTGGTGTGGAAACAATTTGTTGAAGGATGATTTCCCAGAACTCTTTGCAGTCACAGTTGATAAGGAGGCAAATGTGGATGATTGTGTGCAGTTCCAGAATGGGGATCATGTCTGGATCCCACAGTTTATAAGAGCTTTGAATGATTAGGAGATTGAACCTTTTGGAAGGCTACTCCAGAAGCTGTACAGCATGCAAATTGATTTTAACTCAGAGGACAGAAGGGTGTGGCTCAAGAGGACGAGCAGGATTTTCCTTGGTATGTAATCTAGACAAGTATATCCCTTCAAAGGTGGCTTTCTTTGTTTGGTCTGATTGATGATTGACTCACCTGAATGTGTGTTATGGAACAGAATAGAAGAATCAGGTGACCACCTGCTGCTGCATTGCAGTTTCACCTACAACATTTAGGTGAAAATTTTCAGAATTTTTGCCATCAAAAGTTGCTGCCCAGCATCAGTTGAAGCTTTTGTAAAAGGTTGGTGGATCAAAGGTTTAATCAAGAAAGGGAAAATCCTATGGCAATTGGTCCCAGGAGCAGTTTTCTGGTCGATATGGAAGAAATTCAACCAGACTTTAATAGTAACCATTACTCTCAACCGGCTAAACTTTTCTTCGGTTGGGTCATTATGCCGACCAGCACGTGGGGATGTTCGTTCAATCTTTTCTACTATGATCTCAACTTGTTAAAGAAATTACCATATGGGTGAAGCACATGCTTTGCTTCATGGGGCCTTTTCCCACATATGTTGTTGAAATGTTGACATCTTTTTGCTAATGATACCAGAAACAAGACCAGCATCCAGCATATGTAGTGAATTCGGTGCAGTCTTGAGAACCTACCACCTATGGCCAAAACTGATACTTGTTACCATTCAATCTGTTGATTTACAGATGAATATGATACTTGAATAGCATTGAACACATTTGAATGATCTTAAATCTGCAGTCAAGGGGTTAGTTTGTTCTCCATTATATGGATGAGTGACAGCTGCTCCAAATATTATGGTTGGTATAGCACCAATCAAATGGCATCTTCAAAGGGATGGTATCAACCAGCTACAACAGTAATTCTTCCTTCCATATGAAACAAGTGCATGGGAATATGTATATAAAATGAAGCTCTTTCACGTACGTCTGCACTTTTGAATTCATATGCACATTCGTAAAGCATTAGTGTAGTTCACTCATCTGAAGTTGTTTGGTCCGGCCTTAACAATGATTTTCAGCACCACATTAATCCTGAAGACTTGCTCTGGTTGACAGTGTTGTGATATTGAACCCATAGCTGGTTCACATATCCGCCTGAGATCACCTGAAAACAATATAGAATTATGGCAATTTTCAAATAGATTTCCTTATATTTGTAATTCCAAAAATCCAGATCAGAATTTATCTGAATGTAACAAATTCACGAAATTTACAGTAGCATATGACATACCATGGAGAATACCAACTGCTATCAGGTAATATTGCTACTAGTAGCTCCAACTCCATCCCTTTGACTTTGTTCATTGACACATGGTAAACATGCCTCAGAGCCTTTCTACTAGTTCGAGTTGTGCTGTGTTGATTGGGAGCACATGTTGTGTATTGAACGCCTACAGAAGAAAACATGCACTATCAAACAGAGCAAATGGAGTTTGTTAATCGAAAAAATAATAAAAAATACAAAATTCATAACTATTATTATTATTATCAAACACATCCCAGAAATATGAAATCAGAAGTGGGAGTACCACCATGACAAATACCTATTGGTGAGTTAACCTACGATTAGGCATGAAAGGACATCTCCATCAGAACAAACTTCTGAAACACATACAAGTGGAAGCCATGAAGAAATATAAAAAAGAAAGAAAAATTGAAGCCAAATCATAAGTGAATCATATCCTCCAGGGTTGGACTGGTATCTGCTTACTACACTGATAGCCTGTGTTATGTCAAGGCAAGTGCACAACATTGCATATACGAGGCTCCCTATTACGGAGGAACAAGGGAACTTCATGTTCTCTACTTCCTCAGGAGTCTTTGGTGACATTTTGTAAGAATGTAACATTTTGCAAGAGAAATCTTATTTCGCCAATCACAATCTACTCTTCTTCTATGCTCAAAAGCATCCTCTTTAGGATCTTCAAGGGTATCCTCAATCACAACCTTTTGTAACTTTTCAGATGTAAGGACTATATTCAAGTTGCCTTTTCAGTCTATGTAGTTAAGTCCTTTGCTTATATTCAAGTTGTCTAGGTTCCACTCCCATTTATTCATTTTTGAGAATTCCCTCATATTGAAAGGAAGCATTTTCACACCTTTGAAAGTGTAACATATGTGCATAGGACCAACTGTTTTAACTGCATAACCCTATCGCTTTTGTGAAGGATACGTCATCCATTCATCTAATGAACTTCCCTTTAGCCTCCATCATACTTGCCATTTTAGGTTAAACCTCTTCTAATAGATAAGTACAGACCCATCACATAGAAACATCAAAGGTATCATAAAGAGCTTTCCATTTTGGGATAGGCTTCCCCAACTAGTCTCTAATGCCCTATCATCTCAAGAAGTGGTCCAAGAGCATCCACAATCAAGTAGATAGCTCCATTTTAGGATGCATCTCCACTCACTTTCCCACCGATGATGGAAGGATTTTAGAGATGACTTCCTAAGATCATCCCTATCTCTAGCACTTATATAATTAGTGATGGAACATTTAAATTTGTAATCACAATGGATTTAGGGTTAGGTTAGCCATGGGACTCCCACAAGCCTTCACAAGTCAAGAATTACCACCAAGTCCATGTAGGTGATTCCTTTTGGGAGGAAATACAAAATGGACACAGTTTTGGAAAGACTATTGAATAATCAATAAGACAGGGTTGGGTAGGTTGGACCGCATGAAACGAGCTAGAGTCACCAAAAGTTTCACAATGACCCATCCCTTCACTGACTACCCATGACCCATCCCATAAGGGCTGATGAGATTCATTCTTCCTCAAGGAAAGTAAAAATAGCCAATGACATTCTCAATCTTGCCCTTATCATGCATTTTCAGGCTAGGCCAAGATCAATCCCTTTTGCTCTCCTTTCCTTCTCCTTCACTTTTCCTACTTTTTATTTCCTTTTCTTTCTTTTCTGTTTTGTTTGCTCAGGTCAAGGTTGAACCTCTAGGACCCAAAAAGGGTAATTGGGCACCCCAGGTGGTCTTAGTAGATAGGATGAAACATGGCTTAGGTTGGGTCTCATCAAGGAAGGATAAAAGGTTAAAAAATGATGAATAGATGAACCTGTAGCTACAAAACAGATATACAAAATAGTAGCAGGAGCTGTAGGGCTTAGTAATTAACAGTTAAGCACAATATTATTAATAAGGACTACTAACAAGATGATAGCAGCTGATAAATAAATTGTACAGTTAAGAACTGCAGCCTACTATGAAGGTTAGTAGTTCTACAGTTGCCAAAGGATAAAAACAATGAATGTAAATAACTGTAGAAAAGAAAGGAGCAACTAAAATGTAACTTAACACAATAGTAAATGGCAGCTGCACTAGTGGTGTATGCCTTTGAAATTGGAGAGAGTACTAGCAATAAACAAGTATGTAGCACTGAAATGGACTTGCTGCAAGATAGCTGAGATATGGACCAACTATCAAAAGAAATAGAACTAGCTGCAAGAATGTAACTGCTGCTAGAAATGTAAATAAGCAAAAAATATAAACAGAAGAACAATGAATGTAAAGGCAATTAGTAATGTTAGTGCAGTTAATGGAGTTAGTTGAGTTAAATCTCAAATTGCATTAGTCTTCCTTGTATCTTTCAGATATAAAAAGAAAGAAACAAAACACAGTATAGATATGCAAGATCTAAAGGTAACTAGTGAGATCCACTTAGAGTCAAATACCTAGGTATGTTGTAGTTTAGAATAACATTTGAGTGGGTGGTGATTGTAATAGAACCAGCCACTTTGCTAGACAAAGAGAATATTCTGGTTTATACTCTCTCTAATGGAAACCTAAAACTGTTGGTAGTAGTTTTCAACTTGTTTTAAGATCAGTTTTCAACTTGTTTTAAGATCAGTTTGCAAAATGTGTTTATTTATAAATAGTTTATTTTATAAAAGGTTTGCAAAAGGTTTTAATCCTAGGATCCATCTAAGGGTATGACACTACATCTTCCAGTCAAGGGAGAGGTCCTTTCTCGTGGGCATGGTTTCAAATGTTGCGACATTTCGCTAATGTCACCCGACATATGTCGAGGTTGAGGCTCACCGATATGAAAATGGATGGTAATATAAAAATTACAATATTTCGGTTGGCATTTCCTATATTTCGGAAATGTCGACCAAATCGGTCCTGTTATGATTCGGCCTACCTTAGAATTCTATCTGTCTGAGATCGGTTAGGTAGAAAGAGGTAGAAAGGTGGAAGAAAGAGAAAAAGAGAGAAGGGGAAATACTGGTTCGAACTAGAAGTGTCAACATAACCTTCTCCCAGTCGGCCAGACAAACTTATATTATTAAAACTAATTGAAAAGACATATGTGCCCTTATTTAAGTTAGGAGCACTGGTTCCAACACAACATT